AGGAAGTGTCAGGAAAAAATCTAAATAGACTTGATTTACTGTTCAGTTTTATTGTAAGAACCTATTAACTTTAGTAGGCTTTTAAATTTTCTTTAAACATTATGCTACAAAACAAAACCTTGACTACTACTGCATGTGGCAAGAACAACAGAGGACATGACATTTTATAAAAGAGTCTATACCTTACTAAATTTAGCCAAAATAATTCAAGGAAAAGCGTAAGTGAATAGTCTTAAGGGACCACTGGTATGAAGACAGAGGGGACACTCATGCTGTGGGGATTTGGTAATTCAAATGGGGACTTCAATGCGAGGGCCTTTTGAAGTTCTTCCCTATTTTTCCACAAGTTAAGTGCTGTCTCTTAACTTTAAGGCAAATCTCCTGTATTTGTACAACTCTTCATGGTTATTCTACACAAGTATAATTACCCACTTAATTAAATTTAGCTACTAATTTAAGAGACGCTTTTTAAAAATCTAGAATGCATTCTGTACAAAACAGATGCACAATTCCAGGAGGTACGGTCACAAAGGAAAGAACCACTAATATGTAATTGAATGTCATAAAATCCCTAGTTTCTAACCAGAGGGAAAAAAATTAGACTTAGAGTTCCATTAAGATAAAATGTGCTCTATCAGAGTGAGTCCAACAAATGAATGAGAAAATGCTATAAGAAATTGGAACTAAGCCCCAAAGGGTCCCCCTACCTTTACTTCATTCTTCATATTAATGAAAACTGTCCCTCAATACCTCAATTTACATTGTGTGTGGAATTGTTTTTCCTGCAACTATTTAACAAACAGGACATTACCTTGATCCTGCTGCAGTGTGGGACTTTAAGTTAATGAAATGAATTGGAAATTCCCATGTGGGATATAATTCAGCTGTTACTAGAGACCAGGGGACGGCATCCACTTTACTCTGGATTTTTAGAGTAAAATCTCAGTAAACATCTCATGTCATTTGTTTTTAGATCATAAAATAAAAGGGATGCTAGTCTAGCTCACAGGCACTTAGATTGGCTTTGAAGGTCATTGACTGACCTCACCAAAGTCATTGCATCCCAAAGGCTTCAAAGAACCTGCCAACAAAAGAATCCATGGATGAGTGTCCCAGATCTCCAGGAACCTCCCAACTGTTTTCATCCTGTTCCTTAACCATAATCTATGTGCCACATCAAAATGACCACTTAATCCCTGTGATAAATCTCAGGCTGAAGGGGAAAAAAGATGACTGTTGGTTTACATAGCAAACTACTAGGAAATTTTACCTGAATTATAAGTGGAACAATTTCACACTCAAGTTTAAGACAACTTTTCAGAGGGGAAACCATGTACTAGAGAAAGCATTTCAATGACAATCTTTAGTAGAAAACTTTATATACACACAGTATGTAGTTTATGTGCAGTATATAGTACACTGTGTATAAACACACAAAAGACACACATATATACATCTATATATTTTAGATAGTTTTATTTTTTCAGAAATCTCTTGATGATATATTCTTCTAAAGGAATGAGTAATATATAATTCTGCGGAAAAAAAAGAATAATTTTGGGAATGTTGAGGCTCTTTTCTCTCTTCTAGTAGGGTTATTAATACAATTGTATTTCACTTTTTTAATGAAAAGATGAGAAATGTATTTTTTTCATAACATTCCACCATGTTCTCTTTTCTCCTCTTGCAATTTCCAAACAACACTGAGAAATCACCCATACACTCACTCAGTGTATGGAGAGACAGCATGCTGATATCTAAACGGCATTATAGAGGTAGGCACTATCCCGTATCATGAATAAGATGAGGAATACAAATTCATTTCTGCTGGGAAAGTTTCAAGTAGCTAGCCGCCCATCTGAATCAGAAATCATTTTCTTGTTATTTTTATGGCACCCCAGCATTCCATTTAATTACATAAGGTAATTTATAGCACTAATTTACTCAGTAGGCATTAATCATCATAACACCCACCTGTGACACACAATAAACTCCCAAACCAAAACAATACTGATAATGACCACCATTAAACAAACAAAAAAACCCACATACACTTTCTCCAGTACCCAAAATTCACTATTAACTATTGTTCTCAATGTTTAAGGTTTAATGCTTATTTATTTCAAAACAATTTGAACCAAACCATAGCTTTCCTTACAACTATATCTAAACAGAGTAGATAATCAGACACATTCAAAGTGTCACTCTGTCCTCCCTGAACTACCTGTCCATCTTCCTCACTTGGTTTCGATATAAAACCTAGAAAAAAGTGGTTAAGAAAATCAATATAGCTGCTAAAGAAATTGGTGAAGAATTTTTCACAAAACCAATTATTTCCCAAATAAACTTTATTTTGAAAAGCATACCGTAACACGGTCCTATAAATTTAAATATGATGCACCTAGCAGTGTTAATGAGTCAAATGATGTACAAGTGAAGTCACAGTTCTACAAATGGAAAGGTGCAAAGAGACAACTAAACCAAAACAGGCAGGTAACTTCAAAATAACCATAACCTATTCACATGTTTTCATTTCATACTTGTGTCTAAATGTTTAGATGGGAATTGATGCAAAATCTCACGAGATGAAGGACATGCTGCCTGAATAATCAAAATTCTTTTTACCTTTCTTGCTCTGCTGTAGATAGCATCATCAGTAACGTTTCTACAAAGTAGCACCATATAACAAGCTACTTACTCTTTCCCTTCATCATGGTCCTAAGGCTTTTTCTGTATTGTGACTTCTCACTCTTCCAGGTTAAGGAAAATGGCAGTGAACTTGAGTTTTCCAGCTATAGCTGATTTCGGCAGAGAAAGGAATTAGTGAGGAAGACACCAGCATAGAATCAGTGAAAGTCGTCTATATACAGTGTAATAGTTGTTCATAATTCTTTCAAGAAAAAAAAAAAAAAAAATCTAGAGCTAAACAGGAATTCAAGGACTAAGATAGACACCGGGAACCTCACACCACACAGGGTTTTTGAGGCAATTCATTGCTGACCTTAAGATTATTCAACGGAACCAGAGCCATTTCCGGATCACGGGGAGAGTTCTAAGGCACCAGAAATAGCCAGTAAAGTATCTTCAAAGGATAAGGACCCAAAGACAATAAACAAAGTTGACAGCTAGGAAAGCAAATTGAAGAGAAAATCAGACCCTGTGAATGCAAAGAAAAATTTTACTTTTCAATAGAAGTGGGCAGAAGACAGATAATGAAGTTGGGGACTGAAATCTGGTTCAGTAAGTTAGCTGTTGATCTTAGTTACAACAATCTCTTTGAATGACAATGTCCTCATCTATCATATAGGTACATTAAGATCCAACAGCTTTTTTCATGGGCTTCAGATCAATGAGAATTCAAGTCAATGATATATTTGAGATCACCTTGTAAATGATAAAAGTCTGTTCTTAGTAAATAGGGATTTCAACACTTTTTTAAAGTATTAAGAATAAATGCCAACTGAAGAAAACACCATACAATCATCAAAGTTTTGACCCAAAATAGACCTTATTCAATAACAGCTGCTTTGGGTTTGCCTTATTTTCTGATGGACCAGAAATGGGAAAATTTTTATTGGTTTACTAATCATGATGCAATGTTATTACAGTATAATGTGTTTTCTAATATTGCTTATAGGCTATTAATTTAAAACACAGGAAGGGTAATCTGTTAGCTGTAATAAGTAAGCACCGACCAAACACAACTTTCTACCTCGGCTACAATATTTTGACACATTTTATTAAGAAGAAACAAACATAAATAATTTGTTCTATTTATCATAAGTCCGTAGCAATCAGGAACCAAAACTTATGCTACAGCTTAAGTCCTAAGCAGAATACATATTCATAAGTTATTACCTTTGTTAATCACTTCAGCATTGCACATCTCAGTAAAACAGTAACTGGTAACAAGTAGAGTTCAACCATTTTCCTGTTTCTTCAACCAGAGACTCAAAAGCAGGTACAGACACATTGTTTCATTATAACATGAAAATAGTAAGCTTTGAGATATAACAAAGGCTTTGCAAATGCCAGTGTCTAACTTAGAGAAAACGGAGGGAAGCAGCAGGTGCTAATTTGTGCTATACTTGCTCTTATGTTGGGCATGGTCCCAGTTGTAATATGTTTAAATGACAAGTAAGCCGCTCTGGCTGGCGTGAATCGGTTGGAGCATTGTCCCGTGCACTGAAGGGTCTCAGATTCTATTCCCAATCAGGGCACTTACCCAGGTTGCAGGTTCGATTCCCCATCAGGGTGTGTACTGGAGGCAATCAATCGATGTTTCTCTCTCTATTTCTCTTTCAAATCAATAAAACCTATCCTAGGGTGAGGATAAAAAAAAAAAAAAAGTTATAAGTAAGCCATAAGACTTCATATGTGAAAGTATAAAATGGTCCAGAATTCTTCTTATTCAAAGACAAATATAGTTTTTCTTCCCAATAACTCACCAGAAAGAAATGGGTACCTAGAAACCCTAAGGGGTTCTCTAAATAACATTCTGAAAAATATATAAAAATAAAAAACACAAAGCAAGAACAGAATAAAACAATGTTATAAAACTATAAATTAAGCCTGGCCAGTGTGGCTCAGTGGTTGAGCGTTGACCCATGCACCAAGAGGTTACCAGTTTGATTCCCACTCAGGGCACATGCCCAGGTTGTAGGCCCAATCCCCAGTGGGGCGGTGTAGGGGGCGGCCAATGGACGTTCTCTCTCATTGATATTTCTATCTCTCTCTCCATCTCCCTTCTCTCCTCTCTCTAACATCAATAAAGAACAAAAAATTTTTTTTAAAATTATAAAATAAGACATTTTTTTAAAGAAATATTGTTTGTTCAAGAGGACTTTTTTTTTTTTAGATAGAGTGGAAAGGGGAGAGAGAGAGAGAGAGAGAGAGAGGAGAGAAACATCGATGTGAGAGAGACACATCGACTGGTTGCCTCCTGCAAGACTCTGACCAGGGCCAGGGATCAAACCTGCATCCCAGGTACATACCTTTGACCAGGAATTGAATACACAACCCTTAGGTCCACGGGTTGATGCTCTAACCACTGAGCCAAACTGGCCAGGGCTAAAATAACACTTTCTTTAAAGACAGTTGCCCTCTCTTTAAGGATGGATGCTATATAATGGTCAGAAATATCTCTATAACTCATCATGTTTATATGTAAATTCTCTGGCAGATATAAATCCATCTTTGTCTTCATCTTCTTTATCAAAAATATCCTCCACCAAAACATCATGATGACTTTCATTCACCACGGCGCCGTGCTTTTCAAACTCCTTCTTTAAATACACTTTTACCTACAAAATAATGGATCTCGTTAATAATTTTAACTCATAAGATACCCACATCGAGTCCATCAATATCACAGACTAAACTGGTAGCTCATTAAATGATATATAACAACCATACAACAACTACTTTATGGTATATTTTTAATGAAAGCCAAAGAGTTACAAAGACATTTTTCCCTTAAAAACTCTTGCTGTATCAATACAGTAGAGACAGAGAACATTGCTCAGCAGCAAAGATAAAGCTTATATCACCTTCCATTATAACACCCAATGAAAGCATACTACCTGTTCTTAATCTGAGTCTAAATAAAGCCAAGCATTTGAAAGACTGCTGCCTTTCAATCCATTCAATTATCGAGATCATGTTTTCTAACACGGGTCAGAATTCCAGACATTTCTCCTAAAATCAGATTAAATTTTGGCATTTTTAATTTAAATAAGTGTCTGGGAGTAGTACATGCTGTGGACCTGGCTATGATCATGCCACATGGCCTTCCAATCTCAGAAATTAAAGCAAAATCCAGGCTGATGAGTGGTGCTTAGACTAAAGTTTCCATTTTCATTCAGGTATTTAAAGATGTAACAAAATACTGCTCCCATTTAAACACTAGAGTCACTATAATGGAATACAACCTGCATTTTAATTTTTAATCATATTTCTATTATTCCTTCTGTTAGATCAGCAACTTCAAATCCTCTCTCTTCCCCCTACCACCAACATTCAAACATCTAATATATATTTATTTTTAAGATTAAGGTGACTTATTGCAGTTGTAAAAAAAAAAATGAAGCTCTATGGATCAATGTAAATATATCTCCATAGTATATTGTGTGAATAAAGCAAGATGCCAAGTATTATGTATAATGAGCTACATTTTGTGTAAGAAAGGGGGAAATAGAATATGTATTCATGTTTGCTTCTATTTGCATAAAGAAATACTAGGAGGAGATATTAGAAATTAATAAAACGATACGAAAGGGGGAGGATTGCACAGAAGATGTGGGTGGGAGAAAGACTTGATAAATGTCTTTTTTAATTAGACTGATGTTTTTGAACTAGGTGAATATGTTGTATATTCAAGATGTTTTTTAATTAAAGAAAATAAAAAATTTATCTTGGATCAAAAAAAGTCCTATGACTGGTAATACTATGAGGTATTGTAAACTAAATAATGACCCAGTGGTTCATCCCAATTTAGCTTATTCAAGACTTAATCACTGGCTGGCCATTAGAATGAAATTGACCAGAGCATACAAAGGGTCTTGATTTCTGACAGCCCCAGCCAGAATGGAGAGCAGGGGTAGATTCAAAACACAAGGATCAATATCTTTCTCCACAGCAGCAAGACTAAAACAAGAATGAGTAGTAATGGCTGAGAAAGCCTAAATAAATTCCAGGAAGCAGACTTTTTCCTTTTCCTTACTCAAACACCAGGACTTTGGGGGCTCTGGGAAAGGTCTCCTGCTGTGGAAAATCCAGACTGGAGTCTTTCTCCAGGTGTTAACCTGAACAAAACCGAGCCCGTGAGTTGCTTGCTGTTGATTGCTAGGAAATCACCACAAAACACATTTAACAGCCAGTCTACAGGTTTAAACAGAAACCGTCCACAGCAGATATTTCTTCGGACAATATGTTTCTTATGCAGTAACTCCAACATTGAAATTGCCTTGGCAAAACGGATCTTTCAAAAGCGCAAGGCAAGGCAAAACAGTCAACCTGAAGCACTGGAGAGAAGGGGGAAAAAGCAAAAGAATAAATGCTGTTAGCTCTGGCCGCTTTGGCTTAGCAGTTGGAGCATCGGCCTGCGGACCGGAGAGTCCTGGTTTTAGCTCCCGCTGGGGGCGTGCACATAAATAAATAAATAAATAAATAAATAAATAAATAAATAAATAAATAAATAAATAAATGGTGGGGTTTTTTTTGTTTGTTTGTTTTGTTTTTAATCCTCACCTGAAGACATTTTCCTATTTTTTATTCAGATAGAGCGGGAGGGAAAGAGAGGAAGAGAGAGAGAGAAACATCGACGTGAAAGGGACACATCGACTGGCTGCCATCCGCATGACCCAACCAGGGCTGGTGACAAACTGCAACCGAGGTACATGCCCTTAGCGGGAACCGAACCCGGGACTCTCTGCACCGCAGGCCAACGCTCTAACCGCTGAGCCAAACCGGCCAGGGCTAAATGATGTTTTTTTTAAGTCTCAATATATTTCTCTCCAAAACAATGATTTTCTATAAAAAAAAATCCATTTTCAAAGCATAGGCATTTTAAGATTTACAAATAACATTTTATCCAAATTAACAATAAATTCTCTTTAAAAACATATTTCTAAACAAGTGAACTGAAAGAAAGGAAGAAAGAGAGACTAAGAGGAAGGAACAATCACCTCATCTTTAGAGAGTTTCCAGTCATCATTAAGATCCATTTCTTGGAATGATTCATGGGATCTTGGTCCATTTCGAATCTCTAGAAGATCGATGTTAAATATCAGTGTACTCTCTGGGGGTATTTTACCTAACATAAGGAGAGAGCCAGGTTCAGTTGTATTAAAAAGTCACCAAAGTTTTGATGATAGAAAACTTATGGTACAGGACAAAATTATTTTTAATGGCATTAAATGAAGAGCCCCACCTAAGATTATCACATGTGATGGAAATTACTTATAATCATATTTTACTCAAATAGAATAAAAAGAAATAATCTAAACTAATAGATCAAAAGCAATCCATTTTGGGTTTTGCAATTAAAGATTGTTTTACACACACACACACACACACACACACACACCTAATGGCCTGGGTATTAACATTTCCATTATAATTAAGGTATTACATATTACGTGTCAAGAATGACTTAAAGTGCTTTAGATATTTCAGAGTTAATTATAGTATAAGTGATTTACTAACTTGGGTCAGAAAGTCCCACCTAGAATTATATGTAATACTGCAATTCTACCACCGGAGGCAGTTTATAATTGAGTGAGCTTGATGTCATACTGTCTAGGATTGCAGCTAGCTTCTGCCCCTGTCTAGGTCTCAGTTTCCCAATCTGTAAATTACAGATGACAATGATGCCCACCTCAGGAATCCGTTAGGAAGATGAAAGAAGATAAATCCATGCAAAATACTTATCATTATGCTTGATAGTAAGCTCCCAGTATATATGACTAAGATGTAATTCTCTCACAGGCTTTAAAAACAACTCAGAAAAGATGAATAATTTCATAAAGTGAGAAAGCACTCCCTCCCCTGTAGGACATCATACATATGTGGAAGAAATTTCAGGAGAGGGAAGAACATCAAACACATCTCTGAGAAGGGAGATAAAAATCTTTAAAAGTGAACAGAGCATTGTTCATATCCCAGGGACCTTAATGTTTTTTTTTTTCCCCTGGGAAGTATGGTCAATTTTTTTCAACTGTTTCCTTATAACTATATTTACCGGTCTAGGTAAACATTACAAATACTTGAGTCTTCCCACCCCACGTTTGTCCATGAAGGGGCGCTGGTAAGTGCCGAAGAGAAGGAAACTTACGCTGTGCTGCAGTTTACGGTTGCAGATCTAGACAGAAGGGCATGCACTAGGTCGTGGAGAAAGCCAGGATCTTTCCAAAGGCAGCATGCAAGGGAGGACCACAGGACTACAAAACTGGTGTTAAACACACGTTAGCAGAATTCGTTTCATGGTGCTCAGTTGAAAGGAAATGACTCAAGTTTAGATCTCTACTTGTTATAAAGTAGAATTGAGTTTAGTGCAGTGCAGCGAAAGAGTAATGGACTAACACTGTGTGTAAAGATGAAAGGGGAGACAATACAAACACAGGAAGGTGAAAGGATACATTTGAACATTAGAGAAACATTTTCTAGATACTTAACTTCCTTTTCTTAAGAGGATTATTAAAATAAGGAATGAAATTGGTTAGTAAATCCCATTTTATGCATAAGATTTATATAGCAATTTCAAGTTCCGTTTTAGAATATACAACACTTCACCTATTTTCTTCCTAGGAAACTGGGTTAGGGTTCTCACTGTGTTAATGGTTTAGACCTAAGGATGCTGTAAAGTCTATATTCCTATTACACCAGAGTGGTCCTTTGTCTGATTCTAATTACTACTTAAATTTTTTTCCTTCATTATGTAGGTAATATGTGCCCATTGTAGAGAATTTGGAAGAGAAGGAACCAGAAATAAAAATAATCCCCAGCCCCATTGTTAACATTCTTATTTATTTATGTGTATATACTTTTTTCTAATACTATCATAGTATAATATATACTATAGCTTTATTTTCTACTTTTATGCATAATATATCATACACATTTTAGATATAATTTTTTAAATATATATTTTTTATTGTTGACAATATTCAGCTGTGAAATAGAAGGATCTCTCTTATCCTTTTATATAGTATGGGTAGATCTGGAGATTATTATGCTAAGTGGATATAATTTTTTAAATCTTTGAGATGCAATTTCGCTGAACCCTTCTCATTATACTCAAGTTAGTTCCAATGCTTTTGCCATTAGAAACCACACAGTAATGGACATCTTTATTCACAAATCTTTCTTCTGATACCTGATCATTCCCTCAGGTAGGATTACAGTAAAGGAATTACAGGACGCATGAATATCCTATGCTTGAAACATGTTCTGGCCTCCGGTAAACAGCCTTAAGCAAGCTGCACAGGTTTCCCCCCAAAAAACAGAGCTATAGCCTGCCTTGGAACAAACCAGCACAGAAGCTCCCTGGACCAGCTAGCATACTTGCTTCTGTTCTACTACACTCATTTCATGTCACGCCACTCTTTTTTTAAGTTAAATTATCAAAAACTAGCCCTGGCTGGTTTGGCTCAGCGGTTAGTGTTGGCCCTAGGACCAAAGAGTCATGGGTTCGATTCCGGTCAAGGGCATGAACCTCGGTTGCAGTTTGGTCCCCAGCCCTGGTCAGGGTCATGCAGAAGGCAACCAATCAATGTGTCTCTCTCATATCAATGTTTCTCTCTCTCCCTCCCACTCTTATCTGAAGATAAATGGAAAAATACCCTTGGGTGAGGATTTCAAAAAAACTTTATAAGCTTTGTTTTGGGAAACTTCAGTGGAGAGTCAGGCACAGCCCACATCTAAAACTGCATTTAATGCCATAATAACCTACATTTCAGATGTTCAACTCATCAAAACATTTACGTTGAGTAATCTATTTGCACTTTTAAATTGGTGAGTTTCAGTAGAGGAGAATGAAACAGTTCTGGAGACAGACAGCAGTGATGTTTGCACAATAATGTGAATGTACTTAATGCCACTGAGCAATACACTTAAAAATGGTTAAATGGTAAATGTCATGTACACTGTACCACACACACACACACACACACACACACACACACACGAAGCCACCTATTGGCGAACAATGTTAACAACACAGCTGAAGATTCCAGAACCTTTTTTTATTGTTAGTTCAGTTGACTATTAGATATTATGGCTTTAATTGGTCATTTCAAATGATAATCAAGACATAATTATATTTCTCAAATAAATACAAGTCCTCTATTTACTTCTAGGGGAAAAAATACATAGTAGTTACACTAACTCCTGTCTCCTAATTTAGAAAAGAACTCTAGTGCTCTAGAAAAATGTGGAATTGTTATTACCTTTTCCTTCTTTTCCATAGCCCAGGGCAGGAGGAATGATGAGCTTCCTCTTCTCTCCTACACACATTCCCTTCAAGCCCTGGTCCCAACCTTTGAGAGACTCCAGGATGCCCAGGGTAAACCAAACGGGCTGACCATTGTTATGTTTGTGACTACAGTAGAAAGAAAACACATTAGAACATTTTAGTAACTTCTTTTTATTGCTGTGGTGCATTTTTTCCACTCATAGTGGTTAAATTGGGAATTTAATAAAAACAGCTACACACACAAACACACACACACACACCCAAGTCAACTTTAGTGTTTAATTCAATTCACACTCATATTTCTTGATGCAAATTTCACACTGTTGAGCCAACCAGAGAAGTGCAGAGAGCATAATGATTTTTAAAAAATCAATAATTTTTATTTATTTAAATTCCTTACTGATTTTTTTTTTATCCTCACCTGAGGACATTTTTTTCCATTTTTTGTTCAGATAGAGTGGGAGGGAGAGAGAGGAAGAGAGAGAGAGAGAGAGAAACATCGATGTGAAAGGGACACATCGAGTGGCTGCCACATGCACGACCAACCAGGGCCGGGGACAAATTGCAACCGAGGTCCGTGCCCTGAGCGGGAACTGAACCCGGGTCTCTCTGGACCGCAGACTGATGCTCTAACCGCTGAGCCAAACCAGACAGAGCACTTTACTGATTTTTTTTTTTTACAGAGAGAGGAGAAGGAAGAAGGAGGAGGGGGGGACATCAATTCCACTTATTTGTGCATTCCATTGGTTGCTTGTTGTACGTGTCCTGACTGGGGAACCAACCCACAGCCTTGGTTAGGAAGATGCTCTAACCAACTGAGCTACCTGGCCAGAGCCTAAAACAATCAACAACTATTTGAGCACTTACCATATACCAGGTATTACTCCACATGCTTTGCTTCTTTTAACTCTAACAATGATCATATGAGCTAAGTACCATTATTCCCTATTATACAGATGAGGAAACTAAAGTTAAGTGTGTTGGTATTTGACCTAACTACAAAGTTCAAGGTCTTGACCACAAAGTGGTGCTGTCCTGGGAAGGCTACTAAGTGCAGAAGAGGGAGAAAAAAATAGTTACATGTGGGTGAGTGTGGGAAGGAGGATGAGAGGCTAAGGAGAATGTACGGCCCACACACGTGGGTCCATACCCACATGACACTGAGAGTCAGGAGCACAGCATCTTCTCGGGCGCCGTGAACCTGCCTTCACAGCCTGCTGACGGCTCTGATAGCTGCAGAAGGCTGCCCTTCCACCCTCTATCCCCTGGCCCGGTTCTTTCCAAGGGGTCTACAGTGGGGCTGTGCAGGAAAGCCTAGAGGAGTGGCCCCTCATGGGCTGAGGGAAAGAGAATGATCAAGATGTTCTGGCTCATGAGCTGAAGGGAGGCCAGCCCAAGAAAACCAATCTGTGGAGCTACTGGAGGGCTTGAGAGCTGAGCAGTGTCTGGGTACAGTAAGGCAAGGGTATCTTCTATACAAGGGTATCTTGTAAGTAAGAAGGGAAGTCAATCTACCAGGTTTCATGGATACCATGGTCACTAAGTCTAGGTTAAGGCAATTATTTCCTCTTTTCCTTAATTTCTCCCATAATCAATGCAACAAAATGCCGACTGCAGAAAATCTGGGAAGGGTAGAAAAAAATAAAACAGAAAGAAACAATCTACCACCCGTCACTGACTACAGTTTTGGCACATTTCTTGTCGTGGCTAAGGGATTTAAGACTTTATTTATTTACCACATAGGCTATGGTTCTAGAAATGGCAAACATGCCTTATAAACTCATCAATTTATGGTACTTCGTCATCATTCTCAGGGTAGGCAGTTCCTGACCACTTACAATTTAGGGGTTGGGAACCCTTTTTCTGCCAAAGGCCATCTGGATATTTATAACATCATCCTCAGACCACACAAAATTATCAATTTAAAAGTTAGCCTGCTATATTTGGTCAGGCTAATTTGGTGAGGCATGTGATATTAGCTGGTATTGATTTCGAGGGCCTTAACCCTGGTTACATAAAGGCTGCATGACAACAGTCCCCTTATCAGTTACCAGACTTTAGCAGCAAACTGCTAAATAATGTCCCTTGATTACCACCATTGTCCACACAGGTTTTTGGTTCTGAGACCTGAAAGAAACCAGTCTGGGTCTAGAAGAGATCAGACTAAAAAGAAATATAATTGTAAATTTAAAGTGCAAATCATGATATTGTTTAATGTCCACTGTAGTGATGGCCTGGTCAATGAGAAGATAGGGTTGCTGAGAATTCTATGGCAAGACATCTTTTTGGAACTTATGGCAAGGGCTAACAGAGTTCAGAAAAGAGAGCCATTCACTTCTCCAAAATCTCACAACAGACCAGATCTGGATGTCCACATTTGATAGATTGATCGATCGATTGACAGATAGATAGATAAATGAATAGATGATGATGGAGAAAGGCCAATTTTTTTGAATCTCCCCAGTATCAAGCACAGGGCCTGACATAAAGAAAATGTTCAATAAATACTTTTGAAATGTAATGAGTAGAACCAATGCCTAATTGGAAATCATTACACTTGTAAAGCTTTTGCATGTCGCAATTTGTTTATAAAACAGAAATGATAGTGTAAGGACCTGAAAATCCTGCACTGTAGGTATTGAATTATTTATCCATAGCCACACCCACACCCATCAATTAAGTCTTTGAATTTCTAAAAAGAAACAAATGATGAAACAAATCATGGTCCTGCGCTTTGACCAAACGTCATTTGTCAGAACAAAAGTTAAATAGGTCAACTATCATTAACATTATCATAGCAAATAAATGATTGTGTATTCTGCTCATGAAGTTGTTGTACAAAGTTTTAAGTCAATTTCACCTACACCAAATGAAAAATGGAACTGAGTCATTTACCCTCAGGAATAGAGTTTGAAAAAAGAGAATTTTTTCTATTTATTGTCTAATTATACATCTAGATGCTTCTGCAGTACTTCAAAGACTTTAAGTTCTATTTTTTATAATAAAAAAATTAACTGCTTTATCTTGACTTCATGTTTCCAATAAGACCTTCGAAGATCTCCTTATAAAAGATTAGCTTTACACTGTTCCTTTCCCCAAAGGAGGAAATAAGATATTTTAGTTTTTTAAAAATATGGTAAAACTTTGTACACGGTCCCTTTCCTGCCCATGACCTAGGGTAGGTGGGTGGGTTCTTCACTGTTTTACCTGCGGGGTATAATTACTTACGTGGAGTGAAATAAAGAGCCATCCTTTTCTAAGTAGCCTTCATAGTGGACCAACATCAAATCCCCCCCTTTGGTCTTGCGATGGCAGATGAACGGCTTCTGGAGCACTTCAATCTTCACTTCTGGTTCAGGGATCAGAGCCCCACTCAAAGAAGTAACTAACAGCGTCAGGACAGAGTTCCACAAAAAAAGTCTCATGTTGCTGCAGCAGGAAAGAAGTTCCCACAAAAACAGAGAAAGGACTCCGGACCTCAAAGAGTTAAGGATGTAGTTGATGGCTTAAGGACAACGGCCTCGGGCGAGTTCATGACTGTCCTTTCCTAGCAGACGTGGCACGTTTACTAACTGCAACTTTCCCAAGGGCTGCGAACTCGCCTCTAAAGAGTTAAACCCAAACCCCGGGCCGGAGTGGCTCTTAGAAAGTGGTCGTCTGGAACTACCGTCTCCCGTTGGCTCGCGGTGCTGTCCCTCGGGCGCCTCTCAGCCAATGACGCTGCAAGAATGTAATTTACAGCCGGAGTTGCCGGGCAGCGAACCACCCGACGTGGTCCTAGAGCCCGGCGGATTAACGAATGCCACAATTTCGAATTTTGGGTAAGAGGTGGGGCGCGGAGCTAACCGGAAACCTCCTCCCCCGGCGGATTTACACGTGTAAAGTACCCCAGCTGAGCGTGGTGGGAAGAGTCCTGGGGCCTTGTGAAAACTGCAGAGGTTTCCGGAAATACTCATTTATTCTCGCCTTAGGTGAGAAGCCCCAGGACTTCACAATCTAAGACTCCTGCTCTTGCTTATTATTTAACGTATGGTAGTATCAGTGATAAAGACTTCCAAAGCGCGTTCCCGTGCGCGATCTTTACTACACTGTCAGAAAGGCCCGTTCTTTTATCCCATATAAAAATAAGTATATTTAACCTAGGAGAGATTAAGTGTCCAGCTTAAGGTTATTGAGCCCCAAAGCAGTTGAGCTCCGCCTTCAAACCAAGTCTTCTGATGCATTTTACAACGCCGTATAATGTTATGGCTACTAATAATTGATCATTTAGGTGTTTATAGAGGGTCAATAATACTTTCTATCGAGGATAACCAGTGCACACCTCCGCTTAAAGAAGAAATGGTCATCACAGTTACGAGTTACTTAGTTAAAATTTTTTAGTTTTACATTTTCCGTCTAATTTCGAAAGCAATACACGTTCATTATACTCGATTTGGAAGAAACTGGAAAGCACTAAAGTAGGGTTTCCAGTTAGAATACAGGAGCTGAGTTAAATTTGGATTTCAGACGAACAACGAACTGTTCTATTTTTATTTGCTAAATACAGCAACCTTACACTAAATTTTAAAAAAAGAAAAAGAAAAACCGCCTATAACGCCACTGTGTCCGCAAATAATCTTAACATTTTGGTACATGCTTCTGTGACACACGCCTAAAATGATTTGGATCACGTTATACACTTGGTTTCGTAAACCTGCTCCTTCCACTCGATCTCTAGTTAACATTTTCCCTGCTCAAAGATCCTTAGCACAGAACTTTCTCACACTTTCAGAGGCATAGGAATCCCCTGGGGATCTTGTTGAAATGCAGAGTTCAATTAGGGAGGTCTGGGCTAGAGGCGAGATTCTGCAGTTCTGACAAGCTCCTGGGAGTGTCAATGCTGCTACCCATGGATCACATTCCTAGTTAGCCAGGCCTTAGAATTTCGCCAACATTTTATTTACACTGGAACACCGCACAGCATTCTGTCGTGAAATTCCCCTTATCTCACTAAGTCCTATTGTTGGATCCCTCGAGTGTGTGGGATCAATTGGACAACCTTAAAATAGACTGGGGACGAGAACCCAGGGGCCACCCTAAGGGGCCACGTTAACCCCCAAACATCGGGAGGTGGGACCCGACCTATCCATGGCACCATTAAACAGTCAGGAGCGTGTCCCACCCTTGTCCCAGCGGCTTCCCTCCTCCTTTTTCACCCAGCGGTTTCTCCCAAGCCCGCCTCCCAGGACTCAATTTCCCTGCGGGCCTCACGGGCTCCGTCAGCCCCGCCCCGTTGTCGCCGCCAAATCCCGGAGTGGATTTTCGGAGCGTGCGCGCGAGCGATGCACCGGGCATGCGCAAGTGGGCCCCGGGCCCGGCTTGTCGGGGACTCAGGTAGCGCGCGGTGGCGCTGCCAGCGACCCGCAGCCTCACTGGCGACACTTTGAAGGCTTCAGCCGCCCCTCCGGCCCACCCAGGGTCCTAGCCTGCGGGCGGAGGCGCGCCAGCCCCTGTCGTGTGCTCACGTGCCGAGGCCGCCGCTGTGACCCCGCCCCCGGGCCGACGATGTGAGACCGGCCGGGCGTCCCCGCGCGGGGCCCGGGCGCCGGCAGTGGGCGGCTCGGCAGCGCCGGGCGATGGCGCTGCTGCCGGTGCTCCTCGCCTCCTGGGGCCTGGAGCAGTGAGGGGGCTGGCGAGCGAGGGACCGCGGCCCGGGCGCGGCGGGGACGAAGGGGCCGCGGGCGCCATGGAGGGGGTGCTGTACAAGTGGACCAACTATCTGAGCGGTGAGTGGGGGCGCCCCGGCCTTTGTCTGAGCAGCCGGAGGGCGATGTCGGGACGCTCCTCCTGGGGGTCGGGGTCACGGCCCCCCGCGCCCATAGAGACTTGTGCGGACCCGTGCGCTTGGCTCACCGGACAGCGCCCCCCGTGCTGTACCGACACAGCCCCCATTGTGGCTGAGTGAGGGCAATAGCTGCCCTTTCATTTCAAGGAAACCCACGGAATCCTGAGATTTGGGGTGACTTGAAAGGCGAGGTGCCCTCGGTGGCATCGGAAGGGAGACGCTGAGTTCTGGCGAGGGAGCTGATTTTGCCTGGCCAGCAGAGGGATTGGGAGGTTTCACATCGATGTCCCAAGTAACTGGGAATTCCAAAGGGGAAAGGCCCTTTTATTTTATTTTTTTCACCATGCTGAAAACGTGTTTTTTTTTTTATTCTTGTATTATTATATATTATTGTATTATTTTCTTTTATTTTTTAATACTCAATTTATTAATTTCTAAATTACAGATGTCTCTCCTTTCCCCCTCTTTGACACCCTCCTCTCCGCTCCGCACCCCCTTCATCATACTGTTGTCTGTGTACATTGTTTATGCATATATGCATGAAAGGCCCTTAAAAAAAAAAGTCCCCAGTGCAAACATTTTCACTTTGTCGTCTTCGGAGTCATCTGCGTGCAGACCTAGGTATCAAGAGGTCCATCTCAACAGTTTCAGAGCTCCAAGGTTTGCACAAGGTTTTTCGTTTCCTTACTGAGCATTTCTTTTTGTTTGGCACTCAGAAATTACCATAAGATCAATGCAAATATCAGCAACTGTTTTCTTGCTCTGCTGAGCAGAATAACTTAAAAATAGTAGCCTACCCCTTTCCAGTTTGTGGAAGTACTTCTTTCATATCTTGAGAAAGTCATGACTATTCTTCAGCTGTGAATATGATTCAGAACTTCAGAACACGGTTTTGGGGGGAGGGGCAGCCAGTATTTAATAAAAGCCTTCTGCTGGAAACTACTAAGCACTTTTTTGGGGGGGGAATTATACCCTTTATTATAGGAAATGAACTAGGCAATTTTAATTCTAATAGCAATGTATGTGAAACCAGAAGTATTCCCAGTTATCCCCTAGAGTGAGAGAGCTATATTTTCCCATCCTTTCTGATGGGCCAGCTTTTTAAAGGTTGTAGTGTGGTGATGCTCTGGGGTGTTTTAGGGGTGGATGAGTCTGGGAGGATTAGTTGGCATAGTGACTCTGATGAGGTTACAAAGTGCAGCCCTGTGCACCTGTTGGGTATACCCAGAATCTCTTTCTTGTGCATAGTGTGGTTAGAAGTGAGCTCTGTTTATTTGTCCTGCAATCATTACTCAAGACTGAGTATATTAGAAGACTTGGCCTTTTCTTCAGGAACCTTCATTGATGTCAGGTGATTAATTAGATATAGTTAACTCATGGCTGGGCTTGGGTTAACACTCCACTAACCTAGAGGGAGGATGCCTGATCAGGTAATTTTCCTTTTGAGGTATCTTCAGGCTGTGGGATGTGTGGATCCTATGCCTTTGAGTAAAATTAGGTTGTTAGCCTTTCACCGATTCCCATCACAAATGCTTTTCAACTTTTTTTTTGTTCATCCTCAACATTCTTCTTTTTCTTTCCCTCCCCTCCTTTTTTTTTGTTTTTGTCTTCTCTTTCTAACTTTTCTTTCTATGTAGCAAGTTTAGTCTCTTGGTATAGTACCTGTTTCTGGTCATGGAACGCCTTTTATTTTCTTCCTGGCTGTTTTTGTGTTATCCTTCAATAGAGCAAAATTTCTCTTGAAGGATCTTTTGGAATTCTCTCTCATGTGATGCCTGTACCATCTGTTTTGAGTCTTACTTTTTTCTTCTCCAAGTAAGAGAAGTTAATTCTGTGAGTGATGCCACAGTGGAAGCCCGAAGGAAGAGGGGCGCTGGAGTCCTTGTCCTCACACCATGCTGCTTGTTTCCTTGGCCCATGCTGCCGCATGTGGGCACACTGTTTATAGAAGCCCGTCACACCACTGGGTGCTTTTCCTGGATATACTTAAAATTACGTTTCAACACATTCTTTTACATTAGGAGATACATTTACTTTGAAAAGGAGCAGTAATAACATAGGAAGAACAAATGCATTCTTCTTTCTTCCACCCTTCTATGTGAGTTCGTCTCCCCAAAAGAACATAGTGTGAGTGTTCATGACACGCTTTGTTGTTGTTATTAATCCTCACTAGAGGATTATTTCTCCATTGACTTTTTAGACAGAGTGGAAGGGAGGGATGGAGAGAGAGTGAAACATCGATGTGAGAGAGACACAACCCTGAAACTGCAAACCAGCCATATACCCTTGACCAGGAATCATCGAAGGGCTGATGCTCTAACCGCTGAGACAAACCAGCCAGGGCTCATGACAAGCTTTGATGAAGACATCATGGCTTTTTCTTCTTCTGAAGCTTGTTTATAAAAGTAGCATTTTTTTCTTATGGTTTTGCACATAGTAACTGTAAAATACATGTAATCACAAGTCCAAGTTTTTGTTTATTTTGAGTTTTTCCTCCAAAGAGGGTACATAACCATTTGTGTGGCTCGTGTATTTGTCATGCACACAGCTTGATATGGAATGCCTTGTGTCAAATTTGAGTGGAGAAGTTAGGAAATCAGTTTAGCAGCTAATCCTTTGAATCCTTGGGGAGTGTTGTTAATTTCCTTTAGCACCTCCTCTGAGCTGGGCACAAGGTAAGCAACATTGAACAAGACAGGCAGACACAACTCCTACCTTCCTTGAGCTTACAGTCGGGGTTGAGCGA